ATATATATATATCTGCATATCCAAATAATAATAATCTCAGCACTTTTAAAAGCACAAGTAAACTGAATTTAAAGATGAGCAATTACATTGGCATTTTGTGAACAAATCCCACACTTAACTCTTCAGGAATCTATCTCACATAACCAAATTTTCCATAACTCATATACATAAGGGACATAAGCAGGAGGAAAGAAGGAAGTAGGCACTGCCAAGAAACAGGCAAGAGAGAGTTTCTGTAGCTCCAGATTGCACAGTTTTGCTTTGGATCAGCATGGTTAAGCTTTAGAATCCAAGTATTCCACATAAACATGCGTAGATACATATACCTGCCCCTCAACAGCAATAAAAAAAAGGATGTGAAAATCAATCAGGAGTTTCTGAGGGCAAATAAAGTGCAACACAAAGTTCACTTGATATATTTTTCTCAAAATAATCTAACTGCTGGATTGATAGCAACTAACATCAAGCTAGGGCTGGTGTAAATTGGCAGACTTCCATTTAGCTTCAGCAGAGCTAAGGTGATTAACTGCAGCTTAAGAACTATCCCCTTCTATTTTTCACATGAAAATAAGTAGGGCTTCTTTGCAGTGCAAATCTGGATTAATAGTCTGAATTAAAGTCTTTCATGCCAAAAAAGAAATGGTTAGTTTCCTGACAGTGAGCACAGATTTTATATGTCCTGGTCACATGGATTCTTCTTTTTTCTCTGAGAGTACCAGCATAAATATATCATGGACTTTGCAACGCTCCACTTTTGCCCTTGATAGTCTTCTCCCATTCTATCCCTGCTGTCATTTGGGAGAAACTAACTAAATGGCCAGAGGAGGTTTGCCATTTCCTTGCAGACACAGCCTCAGAAGAGCAGGCTTGTCAGAGCAACAGAGCTGCTGGCACCATGAAATGCGTGCAGACAACTCTTTGCAGAACTGCCTTGTTACCGCAGGGTGAGTTATTGTTCTTTCAGCTGCCTGCTCACACAGATCCCCTCCCTCTCAACCATGAGCAAAAAGCTGTTCAGACACATGTCTGTGTTTGCTAAAACTCATACTCAGTTACAGGATAAAGTGATGAACTGCAGGTACTGGGGAACAAGCTCATGCAGGTCACACAGCAATTATGCCAGGGGAAAAAAACCCCTTAGATAGCAGGATAACAAGGAGGTGATTGCTTATTCTGGAGCTGACAGAAACAGAGAGCTGTTACAGTTGTAACAAGCAATACAGTATTGCCATTATAGACATGATTCTCAAAAGAGACCACTGGCTCTACATTGGAGCAGAAGAGCTGCTTTGGTGAAAGTCAGCCAGTCAATGTGAAGACAGCTGAAGGTACAGAGGGTGTGTTCAGGCACACAATGCACACCCTCTTCCATGAAACTGCATCAAAGAGGTCATTTGTGGTATTGGATTGAGCGTTTGTCAGGTCATTCGTGAAACTAACAGCCACAGACTTTACCAAAAGATTAGTACACTGCTGACTGGACCCATCCAGACCCCATCCCTACTCATAGCATGGTCCTTGGATCAGTTTGAATAATATTCTTACCTCAGTTAAAAATATAAATAATGAATGATGGCTTCCTGTATAATTCCTGTATACTCCTCAGATAATTAGTCAGCTTCATTAGCATAGAAGGGGAGAGGTTTTATTAGTTAAAGGATATATGGCAAAATGCTAAAAGGAAAAAAACCTTGCTGAGTGCTCTTCTGTGACACAAACTAATATTCACCAGCACATATCAGACATAAACTGATATATGTCCCCAAAGTTATGAGGATTCTAACTCAGTATACAGTTTTGAAAGACACCATGAAAAAATAATTTACTGGCTTAAAACAATTAAACACTATTATAAATTTAACAGCATTATAAAGAAAACTGCTTGGGAGTAAATCTCTAAGTAATATCATTTTCCTCTTGACATTTTAGAGCATAACTTAAATGTGACCACAAACTTCCATTATGTTTTTTATTTAATAAACACAAATCATAATAATTTAATTCCTTATGAAAGCTCATTATTTATAAATCATAACTATTACCTTTCTACCTGAAGTAGAATCACAGAAACCAGGGACAGAGTCCGTAGTAGTAGACGCAGGGAAGAAAATATTATTGGTGTCATGAGGGAACATGGAGATTTCGTTCTGACGATACATTCTGTGGTGACGAAGCTTTGCTACCCATTCATCAAACAGCTCCTGAGATTTCACCTACACAAAATTTCAGGTTTTATAACATTCACATTCAAAACCAAACAACAAAGAAACTATGGTATTTTGTGCTCCTTGGACAACTAGTCTGGGTGGCCTTTATTGGTGAAACATCAGAAAAGTTTTTCTAAGGAGGCTCCTACTAAAATGTATACTGTTTGAGCTTAAGCATGACAGAAAATTAATCACAGGATAAAGTCAAGAAAAAGAGAAACTTCAGTAATGACTTCCAATGCAGAACACAATACTTAGCAACTTACAGATTAAAAAACCCCACACATTTAATTTGTTGTTTCTTTATTGCCATTGTTAAAGTCACATCAAGGTTTAACTAACTACAAATAGAAAATTGATTTTGGTGATGTATTTTAAACCAGTTTATTCTACAAGGATAGATAAATCCCCATACTTGAAGATGGAAAATACTTTCTGTAGGTAAGACCAACACAAAGATACAACTGCTGAAAACAAAAGTACTTGTGCAACAAGTAAAAAAAAGCTGGGTGAAAAGAGTGCTGCTAAACAAGAGGCATCTTCAAAGTTTCTGCTCAGCACTGGATTAGTGGCACAAGACTGAAATAGTACCACAAGGCCTTTCAAATTATAAACTGTAAACTAACCTGGTAAGACTGAAAAGTAAATTATTAGCATAACTAACAGACCTCTACCAGACATAACTGATGTTGTTAATTTGGGAGCAAAGTTATAACAATCTTGAATACCTACCTTCAGATGGTATATCTGCTCTTCTGTATCCAAATCTATACATTTTGTTGATTTCTTTACAGACATGACAGAAAGTCCAACATCAATACAGCCATGAAGTTTTCCTCTCTCTATCTGCAAAAAGGTAAAAAGTAAAAATACAGTCACTCCAGAATAAAGCAAAATGATAAATATTACCTGCTGAAAACATTTCCCTCTCCTCAACCTGCTGTTTAGAATGGCTGAAACTCTATTTCTCATTGCCAACAGCAGAGAATTATTGTTATTTTGGCTAAAGTAGCATTGTTACTTTATAATGGCCTTAAAGAGTTTCAGATCACTTACATCAGCTTGGCATTTAGAATACTTCAAAATCCCTCTGTCCAAAAAGAAGTATCTCTGTAACCAGAAATGTAGAGAATTAAAACCAAACAAAACACACCAAAAGAAAACCAACCAGAAAATACCACAACCACACCCTCTCCTCTTCCATTTCCTTGGAGGAAGCTTTATTTGCTTTTGAGCAACCTTTTTGCCACGGAACTGCACCAAGTAAGTGCCACTCACTGAAAGCATTAAGCTTTCAGATACACATTCCTTTCCTACCTTGTGCCAGCCCTTCAAAGGCCATTTCCTCTTTTTCAGCAAGCAGCCCTCCTGCTTCTGTGGCTCCTGGGTACAATTCATTGCTCCCCGGAGTCCTTCTACAATTTCCCAGCTGTCCTGCTTAAACAGAAAATCCAAATGTAGATCTTATTTCTTCCAAAGAACTGTATTGTTAAGAGAGATTCAAGAAGAAGAAGGCTATAAGAAAAAAAACAAAACCCAATTGTTGAAATCTAACCAAAGATCCATTCTTACACTTTTTTGTTACATATCTACCAAGAGACAAAATTATTTTCAGTTTTAATAGAAACAATATCAAGTAAACAAAACACAATTTTTATGACATCATCCTTCACTGGATGTATGTGCTCACCAGAACTGTATACGTATATTTTTCTGCACATACATACACACAGTGCATAACCACAGCTTAGTCACAACTTAGCATAAAAACCCTACTGCTATCACAGGCAGAAACAGTCTATGCTGAAAGGATATGTTTTGGAGGTTAGGAAGCTAAAAATAAAAGACACTGAAAAGGAAGACTTTTTCTATAAAACCCTTTTGCCCATATTCAGTAACTGAAGGTTTTGTGTTTGATGTGAATTGCAGCTTCTCTAAAGTAAAAATAATACAATTAAATTATATTAAATTAAAAAGCCAGGGAAGTAACTCAAGTGCTATGAGGAACACGTAATAAAGAGAAAGTACAAGAAAAATATAAACCACCCTTCATCAGATACTACTCTAATTAAAAGAGAATCTCTCTTTTTTGCCACTGGGAACTCTTAAATGAAAGACCCTGCAGCAACGTAACAGAGAAGAGACTAAACCTCATTGTATTTTTATAGTTTTTTATTTATGGAACAACTGCAAACGACAATGTAACATGAGTTTCAAGATTTCTGATCACAGATCTCATGAATTATTTATTGCCAGCTACCACAGGATTTGGCAGATGTAGAATTATGAAAAACTGACAGGAAATGGCATGTGCTAGTACCATCCCCTTATATTTGAAAAAGACATAGAACAGTTTAATATATAGAATGTAATGACAAAAATGGACTAGCATGAAACACTTCAGGGAAAACAGGAGTACACCAGATAGGTAAATAATCATGGTCCTCCTCCTACTTTCCAATACATAGGAAAGTAATCCCCAAAAGAACCTAACTGGCTAAAAAACCCACTTAAAACAGAAATCAGCAAGAGTGCTAGTTTTTCGTATTTATGCATCTCCAGAATCCTTAAATTCACTCCTAGAAACCTAGGGAAAAAATACATCAGGTAATATGTTCCACCATTGGTGGCACTCCATGATTTTTTTAGTATTTTCTGTGTGCTGCACTGAATGGAGCAAAGTGGGAAGCTGCTCTGCTTCCCTGTTTTGAGTTCAGGCTCCCAACACTCACCACACAGCAGGCTGCAAGCACTAGAAACGTGGGGCTGGGCAACTCCTGTCATTCAACATCCTACAGACCACTCAATGATGCCACACTACCTGAGCACAAGTCAGAAGTGCAGTTATCCTAATCAAAATTTTGATCAGGGCACACACTTTGTGGCCCTACACATCAGTAAGGGCTGGTCAGTTAATCCTGGTCAGTTTTGCAACAAAGAACTTCTTTATTCCCTCTGGTTTAACAGGTATTTTGACAGCTCCTTGAATATCATTACTTCTAACCAATGATCATTAAATCATACTTTTTTTCTATTGAAAACCAGAAGTTACATTCCATATTCTGTATATTTACATTTTTATTACTTCTGGACTCATTTAAAATTCTCAATAATCACGAACTCTTTCCTGCTTTGGGGTAAATGACTATGATATCAGATCAGGGAGCAGAGAGGTTACTCATGGATAACATGAGTCAGCAGGCTGAAAGGGAGACAGACAGGAGGCCTCCTGGGCTGTCTCCAGCACATCAGCCCAACACTAGCAGCATCACTGCACGCTCTGCTGCCAGAGCCCAACAGCACTGGTCTTTCACAGGGTGAAGCTGGCAGATAATGAAGCAGAGAGCCAGTACGTGCCCATGCAAGGACAGTTAGCTAGAGCTCCCCAGCTGCCATTTGACAGCTCTTCAAGTACAAAGGCAGCTCTAAGCCTTCATAATTAAGGACCTACCCCACACACACCTTTTTTTTTTTTCCCCCAACAGAACATTCCACTCTACAATCTCGGAAGCCAAAGGGAAATGATGTTCCACCACCTCTTTTGCCATAAATGTAAATGGAGGCCACTAAATGCTTTCTGTAATGGTCTTGGATTTCTTTTTCCTGTAAAGTTTATTTATTAACCCTTACATAATCACAAGGATTAGGACTGTTATGATGACAGAGAGCCGCTTCTTTAAATATCATCAAATATACTGTAATGCTACAATTTACACTAAGTAAAACATGAACTTACTGCTGCTTAAACATCAACATGTGGATAAAATCTCATCCCCTCTATTAAATCTATTAAATGAGCCGACATAAAAATAACCTTGACATTAGCTGATTTCAAATTGGGGATTTGGATAAAGGTAAACATTTTAAAACGTGAGAAGCCTGATGGAACTAATGAGAGATAATTCTAATTAAGAACTAACAGGAACACCTGTGAGATCAGGAAAAATGTTGTTTATGGTTTTGTTTCTTTCTTCTTGAAATCAGTCAGAAGAACTTAAAAGCTCTTTTGCCCAACTACCAAGCAAGCTATTTCCCTTGCCTTTGCCAAAATAAATTAAACTGCAGTACCCAAACATATAACTTTTCCACTGATAATTAATCTGATAGTAGTCAAGACCAGTGAACGATAGATCCTTTTCAACATTCTCGTGTACCTTCACGAGAATGTTGAAACAACTTCAACTTTGGGATCAAGTTCTCACAAGCTTTGATTAAGCATAAACACAGCATATCATTGATACAGTAGTCTACTTGAAGGGGACAAGCATAAATTTGAGCATAATCAAGGAAAACATAAGAATCCAGTTTCATAGACCTCAAAGATCATCTAGTTCCAAATCCTCTGCCATGGGCAGAAACACCTTCCACTAGACCAGGATGCTCAGGGCCCCATCCAACCTCATCTTGAACACTTCCAGGGATTGGGGCACCCACAACTTCTCTGGGCAGTCTGCTCCAGGGCCTCACCACCCTCACAGTAAACAGTTTCTTTTGAATTTCTAATACAAATTTCTCTTCTTCTAGTTTCAAATCATTCCCCCTTGTCCTATCAGTATGTGCCCATGTAAAAATTCATTCTCTGTCTTTTTCATAAGCTCCCTTTAAGTACTGAAACAGGCTGTGATGAGGTGTCCATGGAGCCTCATCTTTCTATAAGGATAAGCTTAGAAAGGAAGGGGCTCTTGAAACAAGACCGACCCATGCTATATGGGGTGTACGAGGTGAAGAGAAAGGAAGCAGTTGAGAAATAGCTCAGCCAATTACACCCACCTGGAATATACATGGTGTTAATAGTTTTGATAAAGCTTTTCAATATGGAACACATCCTGGCCTGCATTACAACCCCAGTTTTGCCTAGACCTCTCCTGCAGTCCAGACACAAAGCATCTCCCACGTTCCTGCAGGAAAGCCACATTTATCACTGTTCTTCAGATCAGTGAGGTGGCCTAGAAAGGGTCTTCGCTAGTAAAATGTGCGAAAACGGGAAGGAAAGCTTAAGTGGGAGCACTGTTTCCCATCCAGCAGGCTCAATGGCTTGCTAAATCTCAACTGGTGAAGGCAAGTCTCTGACTCACCTTTCTGCCCTGGGAACCTTGCACTTCTTTTGCCAACTTTACGTAGCTTAGTTGAATTAGAAATGGATCCTCTTAAAATCTCATAGAATTAACAGCTGGGGAACTTGCTGGACACATGCAAGTTACAGTGATGCATTAACAAACAGCATCTAGTCCTCTTCCATATACATCCTTCTAGAAGAATCCAAACTTTCCCACCTGAACAGCCAAACTCCCACATTTTTCAAAACACTACTGCTGTGACTGGTTTTGGATCCATATGTTCTTGACCCAGACCCTATAGATATTGATGGAGCTTTTGTCTTGTGAGAGACCTGACACCTCATTGAATGAGGAAAAAGCATCAGCTGGCTATTGCTGGGAGCAGCTGCAGAACTGAAAGAAAACTGCTTACTCTCTAAAATGAAGGCAAATGAATCAGGCTGGTTGGTTATCGTCTGTTCTCATCTGTCTGAAATAGCAGAAGAGCAAATTGGATACAGGACTTCCTGAAAACTGCTGGAAGCATTCAGATTACGTTCCCTTTTGCTGATTCTTATCCCAGAACTGGGAACTGAAAGAGATAGCCCTAACTACAGTGCTAAAAAAACCCAACCATGACACTCCTTCCCCCAAAAAATCCTGCCAAAACTCCCAGATGAATGGCAATAACAATTCTAGCATAAGTCTGATGTCCAGATTGGTTGTGTCTTAAGATTATGACACTACAAAAGATTTTGCATCATTATGGGCCAAAATCTGCACAAAATGTAGCACAATGCATTTGCTGCCTAGGAAGAAATTTCGCTCAAGGCTAAGGGAGGAACAAAATCTTTATTTTTCTCAGGTCCAAAGGCACTTATTTCAGATCAGCACTGCAAAATCACTCTGTAGATGCTACTTGGCCTATACCTGCTCTGTGGCTGAGGAAAAAACCCTATACACCTTGGCTGTCAAATATAAATTAATCTTTAGGTAAATGTAGTAACATTCTTTGTTCAATAAAATAAAAGCCTCCTCATTTTCTGCAATATTCTGTACCATAAAGTTTCTCAAGGCAAATTATTTCAGGAGAAAGTATGAAGTAATGACTTTGAACAGCTTTCAGACCAATGCTTGCACTTGCAGCTCCGTGAACCAAACAGATGACAGTGCCAGACTTTCTTCCAGTGGAAAGTGCAGTCAGTTGGACCAAATATTTTAAAGTGCCAAAAATAGAAACCTGCTTTGTGGAGGATAAGGGTTGGCATCAGCTGCAACTAAAGTATTTGTTACGGTTCATAAAATTGGCAGAAATGATTTAATTTTCTTTTATGGAACATGAGGTTTTTTTAAGTGGTTCTCTGGTCATAAAGCTTTTCCCTAGTGCATCCATTCTAAAAGTTAGTTAACATATTACATTTTAAAATAACTACCACAATATATTTTCTTCTGATCACAGGTCAATTTAAATTTAAAGAAGATCAACAGCAGTTTTCTTTCCTCACAAAACACAGTTTGAGTTGTGGCTCAGATAAGCAGAGAAAAGCAAAGAGGTTGGAAGTGGCAGTAGCCCCCAACTTGCAAAGAGGCTTCAAGGTGAAGGTGAACTTAGTGAAACAGGATGAATTGTTAAGCTCCTCGGTTCACACTGCAAATGTGTTACATCTGCCAGGAAACAGGCACCTACTGTAGCAAAAGTAGACCTCTCCATATCTTGTAGCCCTGCTTAAGTCGACTCCTTTCTAGCAGTGACTCATCTGCATCACAAGACTCGTGTTCCACACCAGCAACACCCCAACACATAACTAAATTTTAGCAGACACATCAGCCTTGCAACTGCTGTGTTATCCCAGTCTCAGGTCACTGACTTGGTGCCAGTGTACACCAGCAACAGAGTCTATGCCTAGGAAATCAGAGAAACTCAGAATTCAGATCCTGCTATTTTTTGGGCAAACCTCCTCCCACGCCAGCTCTCCAGATCCCTTCCCCCTACACTTTTCAGAATTTCTTTCAGATCAGATTCAATGAAGTGCTGTGTCAGAGCAGCAGCAGAAAAAAAAAGCACCTGTCAGGCAGATCTGTCGCTAACCTGCAAGACATGAGCCTAGCTCTGAAAGCCCCTGAGAGAGGCACAAGTGTTTGAAGCAGGAATAAGAAGCCTTGCATGGAACTGGAAGATGAAGGAAAGAACATCAAAATCATAGTTTGTCACTCCCTAGTCTGCACAACACATGGCAAGATTATGTATCAGTAACAGTGTTACATTCTACTATTCTACCAGGATTTTGAAACAAAAAAACCCAAACCAAACAAACCAATCAAAAAGCTGCTAGAGGTTGTTGCACACGTGGTTTGTTTTGAATTAGGGGATTTTTAACACTTTTATAGAACTTTAGATTCTAGCTGTTTTCTTAATAGAACACCTAAAGTGCTGCCATTTAAACTAACGTGCAAGAGCAAATTAAAAAACTCTCAGGCATTGGCATCACCCACCCCCAGTCTTGTCAGCCCTGAGTAGATGGGTATTAGCAGGGACAGACTGCAAAGCTCCAGTTTACCAATACAAAGACTTGAGTGAGAAAAGAAGCAATTAATAATATAAACCAAACTACTTGATCTGTCATGAAAAGAAATCCTCTGTGAGAAGTGAGGAGCAAAAGGACAGGACACAAGAAAGATTTCAACATCCTCACTGCCCACACCAACAATTTAGATTTTATAATACATGCCACACAACGTGGTTTACACAACTAAAGAGAGGGTCTGTCATGCAGGGTAAAGATCATTACAATCTGCAAGACCAGAGCCTTTTGGGGAACAGGAACAGGGAGAAGATACCTGTTCCTCACCAAAGCACTGCATTGTCTAGGCCAATATGCCTTGAAGACTATTGCCTCTGCTAGACTTAAAGGAGCATCTTTCCACATGCAGCACAGAAGAGTACAGCTAACAAAACAGTCACTGAAACATGCTACCATCACAAATTACAATTAACAAATAAATTTTAAATAGTAAGGGAAAATGACCCATAAAAGTTATCTTCAAGCAAATATCCAAAGTGCATACCACACAGCATATTTAAATCTTCATAAAAAGATTTAAAGCTTTATTTTTTTTTCTTTCAGTCTTATCTTGTTCAATCTGTTTTGCCCAGAAAAACAGTTTGCTCTGTAAATTACAACTTCAGTGTGAAAAAACAGCCATGTGAAAAACACCAAAACCATCAGGGAATTAAATAAGGAATAGCAATGTGCAGTCACATACATAAACACTGACTATGCTGAAAGAAACTGTAATTTAGAATTAATTTCTTTCTCTTTTTCCTTTCTAAATTTCACTACCTTGAAGGAAGGCCTCTAGATCACTCCAACAGATGCAAGCAAAGTTATAGAATAAGCTAGAGCTATTGCACTTGGTAAAGAAGGAAATAAAAAGGTATTCCTTACAGATATTACAAGTCCCTATTTAAATAAAAATTATTATAAAGACCAGTGGGACCTTAAGCACACATAATTTCTGAAAAAAGTGTTTGTAAATTTTCAGACTCTTTTGAAAAAGCAAACAAGCAGAGCTTGGAAGTTCTTCTTAGTGGCCACTTCCCAGCATATAACAAGTCACACAAATTGCCCAACTTCTAATCCTTGCATCTATCACTACAACCCCCTGAAAATATGAACAATGAGTCAACCCAGTCCAAAAGTCTACTGTTACTTACTTGGTATTGCAATCACTAACTATGACAAAATTAATACTGAAACACTGATCAAAGCAGAGATATTTATCACAATGACCCATATTATCATGAAGAAATATCAGCTGTATTGCCCTTCAGTGCACATTGGGAAACAACCTACGTTATACCTCCATCCAGCTTGACCTGATAGGTGTATGAGGCTATTTACCATCTGCCTGACTATAATGAATGAGCAGGGATCTACCAGGAATACAAACAAAGCACCAAGTTGCATCTCTCATCTTGCTCAGTTACACCTTTCTTTCTTGCACAAGGATGAAAAACAAAAAAACTGGGGATTGACAAGATGACATATAAACTTCACTGAATTTTCCCTTTTCTCCAAAGAGAACAGGTGAGAACAAAATGGTTAAGAAAAGGTACCCACTAATAATAGTACCAAAAGCTCAAGCTAGCAAACAGATTTGATCATGTTAAATGGCAGTAAGCAAGGTTCTTGCAGAAATTGCTTTTGTGTAAGTATGGTTGTTTATACTGGCTGTGTAACACACCAATGGATTTAGTCATGGTCATGTAAATCTTATTATTTAAATACTACATGATAACACTTGATAGACAAGAACTGTTGAAACAGATAATACAAATCTTTTTAATTACTCTTTTTAAAGGTAATCTCATATAGAGTAGATTGATAAAAATAATGTTGCAGGAAAACAAAAAAGGCATCCTGAAAGCAAGAATTTTGTTCTAGTGTACTAGGAATGCACAGTATTTCTTACAAGCACAGCACTTTAAAGGGCATAAATGGTTCAGATTTGTCTGCCTCACTAACCATATGTAAAGGGTCAGAAGTTCCAGAAAAGCAGGTGCTATTTCAAAACACAGCTGAGGTCCCCAAAGCTTTTGGGCATTGGGATGCTCAATTCCAATTAAAATTTCAACCTGAGGCAGCTTCAAGAGCTCCACTAAGCCAGCACTTGTACAAAAAGTTTATGTTGAGCATATTGCTCATGATTTTGCAAGCATGGATTGAGCATGCTTAAGCTTAATTCTCGGTGCAACTGCAGGTCAGTGTTTCTTGCCCACAGACAAAAGCTGTCTTTAGCAGCCTCACTTGTCAGGTGCAAACCCTGGTAGATACGTCTTTTAAAACTGAAAGGTTTAAAGAATAGCATAATCTCTGCACAAAACAGAGCATCATTTTCCTTAGGCACCCTAATATATCACATTACATGAATACTTATTTTCATAACTGCAGTTCTACAGCAACAAACATCACACACAGGCACTGACAGGCACCTTTTCATTGCTAAAGAGGCCCTAGGTCAAGTTCCTGAAAAGTGTGTTCTCTTTCCCACATGCATGCCCACTTTTCCTTGGAAACTTGAAATAAGCAGAGCAGTGACACAATGTTCTACCACAAAGTGGTATCTTACAGAGAATATTTGGGATTTCAGGATCAGACAACTGAGACCAAGCTGCTACACCAGCTCTATTTCACTATAAAGACACCATGCACGCAACATGATGGAAATCAAAATTCACTGTTAGCATTCCAGTTCTACATGTGCCTGCCATTCAATAATGTGTTTACTGCTTTTGACTAAACCCAAGATGCTTCTACCAAAAAACCAAAAAAAAGAGCAAAGAAAACAAAGAAGTGATGATATAAACCAAGCAAGCAAGAGGAAAACAGGGTTTAAGAGATTTGCCAATATGCAAGAACAAAAGTAACAACCAAGCTTAGCAATGCTTTCAGCTTGGTTAAAAAAGTTTGCATTACCTGTCTACTTCCCTGCTTGGAGGAGCAGCTGCTAGTACTTCTTGAAGGAGACAACATTTTCTGGGATGCACCGATGTTTTTTTCTTCACTCATGATCCAATACTGTTTGTTTCACGTAAGCTCATTTAGAACACCATTAAAAGGTAATTTACAAAAAGCGTTGGAAGATTCCTCAGAGAAACACAGAACTCATCCTTTACCCAAATGCAGTCCAATGGCATGATCTGCATCCCACAGAAACTTCTAAAAGGGAAAAGAAAAACAAGAAGCCAAGTTATCAGATGCTGTCTCTAACTGCCATCCTGTAGCATGAATCATAGCAAAGCCTTTGGTAATACAAGCTGAGCGCATTACTGTACAGTATAAGACATTAATTCAACAATCACTTTGAGATAAAGTTTCAAGTCTCAGAGAGGAATAACATGAATTTTGGGTGCTAAACACGTTTTAATTGTCACATTTATTCAGAGGACAAAGTATAATATCAATAATCTTTTTACAGGCTTAAACCAATTTAAAAAATTAATAAAGACATGCATAGATAATAATAAATATCTATACTAAAATGGACCAAAATAGATGCTTTCATCTCATTTTGAGGCTAATAGAATGTCTCACAAAAATGCTGGTGTGTAATCAAAAATATACCTCTTTTCTTCAGTTCCTTGATAATTGAAACACATAAGCATGGCTTCAGGTTGTAAGGGGAAAAAAAATAAATCTATCTCTATGAAAGAGCACTACCTAAAAGTAGTGAGCATGCAAACTCAGTGGCACAGAGCTGTGCATGACCACTTTGACCTGGAATTAGAAAGTTGCAACTATTGTCACATCAGTTGTCTCAGTCATTGACTGGAAGATTAATTAACAGTCTGTTTAATAACAGTGCCCCTTGCAGCATATGCAAATACAAGCCATGCCAGAAACTTGCAGTAACTGATTTCCAGCGTGGGCAAGAGTTGCCATGGTAACTGCATATTTCTTTAAAAAACAAGCAGAGGACATAACAAAAGGGTGATGCTTTCTAAAACTTGGGGTGGTGGAGGAACTTTATAAATTATGTACCACTTCAGATTTTATCGTCTTGGGCAAGGAATTTGGGATTAGGCTGAGTCCAAGAACCATTACTGAGGAAGGTAAGGAAGTTTCCACAAAGAGAAGAGAAATTTCGTTGTCGAAATAGGGAGGCACTACTTCACAATTCCCTTGCTTGCGCTGTCACAACAGTCCTAAGCTAGGATCACTGATTAGTGAAGTTTGCCATTCATTTTTTCTTGAAGAGGCTTGAAAACCTATTCTGAGAGAATAAGCATTTTCAGATCCCTAGTAAAACACTTTGTGTATTCCCTAGTAAAACACTTTGTGCATTTTAAGAATTCATTTCCCTTTAAAAAAACAATTTAAGAACATCAAAAACCACAGACAAAAAAAAACCCAAAACACACAATTAAAACCAGGTGCTACGTTTAAAATGAAGACAACACTGTGTAGCAGAAAACCTCTCTCCCTGCTGCTGTTAGTCTGAAGCATGCAGCTTCTGAACAGAGACCTTCCCCAATCTATAGTGCCTTTGTGGCAATATAGTTTGCTGTAACATTTTAACCAACACGTCCTCTTTTCACCTGAAACGTGGTCTCTCTTTATGGCATTTAGCTAGTTAGAAACACTCAGTTAATGCCAGAGCAAATCTGTCCTCGGGAACAGTAACAATACAGCCCCAGTCTCCACAAGGGAGATGAGAAAGTGAGCTCTCCTGGGGTTCTTCCACTGGTGAGTCAGCTTGGCAAATATTCCAGGAACCATCAGACAGCTACAAAGCCAGCAAGCACCAGGCAAGGCTGAAGAAAACCAGAACAGCACAGCAATGTGATACCAAGGTCTACGTCATTTGGGCCCAGCACATGGACTTTAGACTGAAATTACTCTTGAGATTAGAAGTAGTGCGTTTTGGAGAAGGTACAATCGCGTCCTATCTGCAAGAAGAGTTTATGTGGCATTTCATTAAAGACTAGCACTTCTAACAGTTTTAGATTTTTCTCACTTGTTTTTTTTTGGGGGGGGTTTTGGAGGGTTTTTTTGACAGATTTAGAAGTATCTCAGGTTCGTAAGTGTGGAGTTGGTGTAAACTATAACTTTCTTGCTTACTTGTATGTTGTATTTAGCAAAACAGTTTAATGATAACATCTCTGTTAACAAGCAGAGGTCAAAGATTCATAATGGGAACATAAACAGGCTTCCTGCAAACTCATTGTTCACATAACCCCTTGAGAGTACCCAGCAGCAAGTGCTTTACTTTTGGGACACAGTGTTTGCTCAGATAACTGCCTGTCCTCTTCACTGCTCCATGTTCCAAATGAGCATCTTGTCACTTGGCTTTCATTGGTGATAATCTGGCATTGTGGCAAAGATTGGGAGAGTTCATGGCAAGAAACAGGCTCTAATTTGCAGCAAAATGCACTGAAAATTATTGTCATCAGTATCTTGCAGGTTTATCTCCAGGACACACTAGATGTAAGATACACAATGCCCTTTACCTGTTTGAACACACAGCACAATAGTTGTGATGTCCTGGAAGTGCCAAGTAACTAAAAACCCTAGAGGTCTCATGGACTTTCAGACAAAAAGAAGTCATATGATCAGAGGAGTATTTCTATCATCATGTTTTTGGCGTAGAATGTAAATGAAGTTAAGGTCTGACTACATTAGCATTTTAGGACACAGCAGAGGGTCACTCCCACTGCAAATCTTCTGCCACATTTAGGTTTGCACTGCAGGGCAGCCTTGGAGCATGGAAATCAAATCCATTTTGGATTAAATGTGCTCCGGGAGTGCATCCAGTACTACCACACTAAAGCTAGTCCTGACTAGTCTCATCCAGGGGTAGATGTTGGGTCTTCACCTTTAACTGACTGACTACAAAGATCCACAGCACTGCAAACACTGACGTTACAGACACAGACTTATGCCACCTACCAAAGTACTTAAGATCTCCTAGGGCAATGTCATTTGTCCTTCTGGAATCAGAAAGAGAATGGATTGGCACTTTTCCAGAATTCAAATGAGCTGAAGGTGACTCACCACCTAACAAGAGGTTCTTGAACAAGGGGCAGAAGATAGGTGTGGTAAATCTGGCAGAGAGCACTTGAAGTATTTTGTCAGTCTGCTTCCAAAATTGGGCTTTTGAATTGTCCTCTATTCCCTCAAATTAATTACTGCATGGGCTGAAGAGAAAGCTTGTTACCAGCCCTGAAGAACACAGGAGTGAAATGTGCCCTCTCTGCAAACTGCTTTATTTTATTGGTGCTTCCCCATAATTTAACTTACTACCTTGAGACTTCCAGATTTGAACATGAAAGCGTATGTGAATAATAATCATGGCCCCAATTCCTCTGTGAAAACTGCTGCATGCTCCAGCAACTACTTTGTGCTCCTTTTTTAAAATTCTCTTCAAGTTCAGGAAGAAAAAAGAAAACTGTGGTTGCCCTTGAACAATAACTCACTTATTCTTCTAGGAAGGTGAGAGAACACTGATGCTGCATCCCAAGCTGATTCTCACATTCTGTCTGCCAGCAGCAGTGACTGAGCCTCTCTAAGGCAACTGATATTTTACATTACCTGTGGAACTTAAGGCCACCAAGAGTCCAACAGCAATTACAACTTTCAAGCAGGCATGAAAATCAGTGTTATGCTAACTAAGCCAAGATTGCAACTAAATTTGATGTTTTGAGGTCATCATGATTCCATTGCTTCAGGTTCAACACAATTTACTCCTCTCCATGCCATAGGATGGCCTCAGAACCGTATTTGTTCCCACATTTCTCTGGAGCACACAGTGCCACTTACTTTGGTCTACTCCAAAAAGTCCTGAGGCTGAGGCAAATCCAAATAAATTTAGGACAGCACTTTTCACAGGTGCTAAGTATTGGCCTAATTCGTTGCCATAGAGTCAACAGCTGCAAAAGTAGGCCAAGAGTACCTCTGCAAATGACCCCACCAGGTGCATTTTAAAGAATTAAGAATACATGAGTATCAAATATTATTTATAGCTACTACATCCGAAACCCATAAAAAGCACTTATCTCTACTTATCATCTGTTACTAAAAGCCTTATCACTCTACATCAATTAAAGCTAATGTAAACACATGATAAGATGTAAAACAGGAATACTTTCATTTTTTAAAATACCATCCCAGGTTGTCCTTAAACCTTTAAAACTGCACAGGTTCAAAGCAGCCTTTCAGTACTATGCTTCATCTCACAACTCTCAAAGCAAGAAGCTTACAGCAAAATCCAAGATTTCTCACATCTCGCAAAAGAAAAGAGGCAGAAATGCAGAAAAATATATATGTAAAACTGCAGTAAAAAAAAATTTACGTAATTATTTTTGCTATGGTTCTGGAAGAAAAATAAAGCCTTAACAGCTGCTTCAGAGCTGATTCAGCAGTAAAGGAACATTGTAGAGATTTTGAGCAGCAAAACTGGAAGTGCACATCTCATTCTAAAACTGTAGTCAATTAAGGTTTTGTGGATAGAAAAATAGGAACAACAGAAAGCCTGATGAGAGTCAGGTGGATACAGCAAGCACAGAACTGAGCAATCCAAGTCAGAGATGCAAGTAACATTGAGTGACTTTCACAGAATTATAAAAGAATTTGTGCTGAAACCTTTGCTCTGTAGCTATTATTACATTACATTCACTCACGTCTGCCTGGATAAACAAAGCAAGAGTCTTTTCCAAGTATTGCTTTCATGTCTTTCCCTGCTATACTTCAATTTGCCAGCTTTAATCTATCCTGGTGTGTCATCTGGCTCAAAATAGGGAAGAATTATTTATAGACTATAGATATGGCATGTACAACTATTGGAGATGTCTTTTCAAGGCAGGTGTTTGCTGCTCCTGAATTACCATAAGTTTCATAGTATTGAAGGTCAAAGCATGCAAACCCTGTTCTACTGCTAGCTATTCTCTTTACAGAAGAAAACTTGCAGAAACAAACACAAAGCAGTTTAAAACAACTAGGTTATTAAACCTATCTTTGAAAGCAAAAGTTCAGACAGCTTAGGGAGACTAACAATAACAGGAAGCATTTCA